ATTAAAAAACACACCTTTACTAGATGTTATGAGAATCAATGTTTACTGCAATGCTAATGTAATATCGGTGTACAGTTTTTGTAGTTTGCAGACAAAATGGCGTTAAGTTTACTTCGAGCCTCTCGGGGTAAGTTTCGATATATCCTCGCCTATACCGTTATTGTCTTACAGTATTCATCTTTGCAAATTGTAACGACAGATATATTTATTTCCTTAAGATACATAACTGTATGGGTGGTGTCTTCTTTTTAATTGAAAAAGATCACCAACAGAATAAATGACCTTGAGGTGTCCTGAAACTTTGACAAATTGAAACAGATGCTGTGTTATGTGGTTATGTAAAGCTTAATAACATTTAGGACGACTTTACAACAAAATATTTTTTAATTGTGAATATTGACCATTTCCTAGGTTTGCCAGTACATCCCCCCCCCCCCAACAGCCTGTAACTCTTATTTTTAATGCTTTAGTTAATCAAAACCAATGTACATGTACATGTAGGTGGTGACTTTGATATTAATAAACTGTTTTAATTTCTACAAGTATCAATGTTTCTTACACATTCTGAAATGTTTATGCATGTGCAGGATATATTTATCACTTAACACAATTTCTATTTCTCCTCAGGGCTGCAGCGTTTTGCCACCAGGCCCCAGCTAGTGACTTTACAACACCAGCCACCTTTAGCTATCCTGTCACGCCATTCAGCACATAACCTTACGGAAAAAAGTGATCCATGTAAGAAAATCATGTTAATCTGAATTGGAATGGAAAACGTATAATTGACTTATGAACAGATAAATTATGCCTTGGGGGGATGAGATCGAAAGGCCTTTTTACATTGGGCATTCTGTCTGAGAGTCCCATATTTATCATTCTATTTTTGAGATATCATACTGGTACCATACCAGGGCTTGTCATAAACCACTTTCTGGCACTTGCTCTGTTGAGTAAATTGTCTGAAAATCTACTTGCTTCTCTCCAAAATCATTTGAAAAAAAAATAAGAATACAAAATTTTCAAATTGTGGGAAAGTGATCCTTAAGCAAATCACCTGCATTTGCAGGCAAGCATATCTTAATTCTGGTTGCCCAACAGCTGAAATCACTTGCATAGGGCAAGTTACACCAATAAGTATGGCAAGCCCTTCTTGTACTATTAATTACCTTGCTAGTATGCTACAGGATCATTTTCAGTATCTTTTAAGTCGGTTTATTACTGTTCAGATGAAAGCATTGTTCTCTTGAACACCGTAAAAGTATGACAAACAATGAGCAAAGTGTCTTTGAGTTAAAATTAAGTATTGTACACTAATTGGCTGTATTGAGTGCTGAAGCTACATTTTAGTTATTCTCTGACATAATAGCTAGGCTGCTGTCAATCTCTAAAAACAGAATGATAGACGACTGTGACTGCATTCCCACAGATTTAGATTGATCCATCTGGATCGACCTAACTCCTTGGGGGTTCACGCTAAATTGCTGTTAGCCGAGCGCGCACGGAAGTTAATTACCCCCTTACAGCTTTAAGTAGGCGGGACAGACATTTAAGCTGGCTAAGCTGACAGTAATCTAGTGAGACTCCCCACGGGGATAGATAGATCTAAAATCTGTGGGAATGCAGTCTTTGATAGATCATTGGATGTGAATAGGATGCATGGGACTAAAGTGTATAATCAGCAGATTACATTACACATGGTTGTACAGGTCACCTGTCATAGCACATTTGATAACAGGACAGAATTAAAGTTTAAAGGAAAAAGAAACTTCATATTTGGGGTAGATTCACACCTAACACATCAACAGATACATGATGTCAAGATTTGAGTATTTTTGGTTACAGTCAGTTTGTTTTGATGATTCCAGAAGTTTAATTAGTATGTTCTCATATATCAGTATTGAATTAGAATGATAGATGGTACAGGGTATCTTAATGTTTTTAGCGGCGGTCTATGATCCCAGTGGTGAAATGGACCATGACATTGTGAGCAAGTGGAAAATTGAGCGCCTGTTTGCAGGCTCCATGATAGCAGTACTGCCGGCAGCCTTTGTCATAGAGCACCCCATCATGAATTACTTAGTGGCAACAGCTTTTATTGTCCATGGTCATTGGTGAGTTCCAGGCTCAGAATCAGAACAGTGCATGTACTACTAGTAGAATGTTTTGTGGCTATGGTTGATATAGCAAGAGATCACAAATCCAATTCCAATGGCCATATGCATGCATGCACACACACAGGCACATGTGCATACAAACACAAACGTGTGTGTGTGTGTGTGTGTGTGTGTGTGTGAGAAAGAGAGATAGAGAGAGAGAGATACATTACTGGTATACATCGTACAATAGACAATGCTCTACAAAATAGACCATAGTCTTTATATAACAATAACAGATCCTAACCTGGGCAATATGTCATGGTTTCAGGGGTCTAGAGGGTGTATTTACAGACTACATCCATGGTTACCCCTCAGAGACAGGAAGGAGGCGCTATCCTTGGGTGAAGTCGGCAAGGATGGTGGTGTTGTACATTTTGACTACGACTTCACTGGCAGGTAACACAGCTCAACTTGTTGTTTAAAAAGGTTTTTGATAATATGAGGATAAAAAGTTGGAAAGTTACGCGATTTGGTAAATTCTTTAAATTTTCAAATGCCTCCATATTTTTAAACATTGGGCATTTTCAGGATTTATTTATTTATTTATTTATTTATTTATTTATTTTTGATGCTAAGAAAATTGTACTTTTTATCATGATGCCAATGCTAGTAAATTTTCAAAACTGTTGAGAGTTGAGTAAACATTGAAATGTTTTTTTATAAAATATTCTTTGATAAGTAAAGAGTTTACTTTGTTTGAACTTAAAACAATAAAGTTATAAATTTAATGGAAAATGATAAATTAAAATGTTTTTAAGATTATGTTTGTTAGAGCAGTTGCCTATAAGAATCCTTGGACATGTCTCATGATTGGTTTGGAAACAAGTGAAATTATGAGAGGTGTAATAAAAATCATTCAACTAGGCATGATTTGATTTAAGGAAAAAAAAAGGAAATTTTAGGGGATCAGTGGACAGTTTGGTTCAATAAAAATATACTTATGATAATTTTATACTTAATAAAATAGCAAGATCGTACAATGTAAACACAATTGTTTCTAATACACATAAAAAGGGATTTAAAAGTTAATAAAAAAATACCATTTACAATATTGTAATCATGATCCATCTACTAGTATGCATTCACGTGTGAACAAAAAATATATTTACATAAATGACTGCCTGCCAGCAACTTGTTTTTTTTTTATTATTTTTATATTTGTTCCATCAGTGCCCTTAAGGAAAAGAACATTTCAGCCATTTTAATGCTATGGTCCAATAGGATGTGGTCTTTATTTTCTAGTAAATAAAATGTTGCCGAGTAACACTATTTTTTTTTTTTTTTTGTTAAATAAATTAATGAGTGATTTTAGATGTATACAGATTTTAAAGTCATTTTTACAAACCTTGTGGTGGGCAACATATCCACTGTGCATAGATTGCATTTAAAGGAATACTCTAAAATGCATTATTCAAATCCTGAATCATTTGTTGACCTACATTCCTGTAACACGCTTACATGTATCTTATTGTTTTAACTCAGTGTTATGATATCTGAGAATGTTGTCTTAACTCGTTTCGTTGTTTTAAGAAGGGAGATGACCTTATAGTTTTAACAGATGCGGATTAAAAAAAATTGTGTTATACTGACACTTAGTGCACCTTTTATGATGTAAGGGTATGCACCTGCTGCTCAAGATAAAAATCATAACTTACTTAATGAGATGACAGCTTATTAAGATGAGTGTTTAAGTGAGTAATTGGGAAACTTCTATGAATAGTAGCAGAGTAAAGGTAGCAGTTAGAGTAGCAGTGAGTAGCAGTAGTANCCATGCTAATGTAATATCGGTGTACAGTTTTTGTAGTTTGCAGACAAAATGGCGTTAAGTTTACTTCGAGCCTCTCGGGGTAAGTTTCGATATATCCTCGCCTATACCGTTATTGTCTTACAGTATTCATCTTTGCAAATTGTAACGACAGATATATTTATTTCCTTAAGATACATAACTGTATGGGTGGTGTCTTCTTTTTAAATGAAAAAGATCACCAACAGAATAAATGACCTTGAGGTGTCCTGAAACTTTGACAAATTGAAACAGATGCTGTGTTATGTGGTTATGTAAAGCTTAATAACATTTAGGACGACTTTACAACAAAATATTTTTTAATTGTGAATATTGATCATTTCCTAGGTTTGCCAGTACACCCCCCCCCCCCCAACAGCCTGTAACTCTTATTTTTAATGATTTAGTTAATCAAAACCAATGTACATGTAGGTGGTGACTTTGATATTAATAAACTGTTTTAATTTCTACAAGTATCAATGTTTCTTACACATTCTGAAATGTTTATGCATGTGCAGGATATATTTATCACTGAGCACAATTTCTATTTCTCCTCAGGGCTGCAGCGTTTTGCCACCAGGCCCCAGCTAGTGACTTTACAACACCAGCCACCTTTAGCTATCCTGTCACGCCATTCAGCACATAACCTTACGGAAAAAAGTGATCCATGTAAGAAAATCATGTTAATCTGAATTGGAATGGAAAATGTATAATTAAATTATGAACATATAAATAATGCCTTGGGGGATGAGATCGTAAGGCCTTTTTACATTTGGCATTCTGTCTGAGAGTCCCACATTTATCACTCGTTTTTGAGATATCATACTGGTACCATACCAGGGCTTCTCATAAACCACTTTCTGGCACTTGCTCTGTTGGGTCAATTGTCTGAATCATTTGAAAAAATTCAAAATTTTCAAATTGTGGGAAAGTGATCCTTTAGCAAATCACTTACTAGTACATTTGAAGGGAAGTATGCCTTAATACTGGTTGCCTGACAGCTGAAATCGCTTGCATAGGGCAAGTTACACCAATAAGTAGATGGCATGTCCTTCTGGAACTATTAATTTTTCAGCTAGCATGCTACAGGATACTTCTCTCTAGACTATTTTTTTGTCGGCTCATTACAGTTCATATGAAAGCATTGTGCTCTTGAACGCAGTAAAAGTATGGCAAACAATGAGCAAAGTGTCATTCATATAATATTAACTATTGAACATTAAGTGGCTGTATTGAGTGCTGAAGCTGCATTTTAGTTATTCTCTGACATAATGTTAACTAGGCTGCTGTCAATCTGTAAAAACAAAATGCTTAAGATAGAAGACTAAGATAGACCATGGGTGTGAAAAGGATGTGAGCATGGTACTAAAGTGTCTACTCAGCAGCTTACCTGACATGTAGTTGTACATGCAGAACACTTGTTATAGCACCTTTGATAACAGGACACAATTAAAGTTCAAAATAAAAAAAACTTCATATTTGGGGTATTCACACCTAACATATTTACAGATATGTGATGACAAGATTTGAGTATTTTAGGTTACAGTCAGTTTGTTTTGATGATTCCAGAAGTTTAATTAGTATGTTCTAATATATCAGTATTGAATTAGAATGTTAGATTGTACAGGGTATCTTAATGTTTTTAGCGGCTGTCTATGATCCCAGTGGCGAAATGGACCATGACATTGTGAGCAAGTGGAAAATTGAGCGCCTGTTTGCAGGCTCCATGATAGCAGTACTGCCGGCAGCCTTTGTCATAGAGCACCCCATCATGAATTACTTAGTAGCAACAGCTTTTATTGTCCATGGTCATTGGTGAGTTCCAGGCTCAGAATCAGAACAGTGCATGTACCAGTAGAATGTTGTGGTTGTGGTTGAAATGTACCAGATCACAAATTCAATTCCAATGGCCATATGTATGAATGCATTCACACACACACACACACAGAGAGAGAAAGAGAGAGAAAGGGGGAAGATGTGTGTGCCTTTGTGCAAGTGTGTGTTTGAGAGAGAGAGAGAGAGAGATTACTGGTATATATCATACGATAGACAATGCTCTACAAAATAGACCATAGACTTTATATAACAATAACAGATCCTAACCCAGGCAATATGTCATGGTTTCAGGGGTCTTGAGGGTGTATTTACAGACTACATCCATGGTTACCCCTCAGAGACAGGAAGGAGGCGCTATCCTTGGGTGAAGTCAGCAAGGATGGTGGTGTTGTACATTTTGACTACGACTTCACTGGCAGGTAACACAGCTCAACTTGTTGTTTAAAAAGGTTTTTGATAATATGAGGATAAAAAGTTGGAAAGTTACGCGATTTGGTAAATTCTTTAAATTTTCAAATGCCTCCATATTTTTAAACATTGGGCATTTTCAGGATTTATTTATTTATTTATTTATTTATTTATTTATTTATTTATTTATTTATTTATTTATTTTTGATGCTAAGAAAATTGTACTTTTTATCATGATGCCAATACTAGTAAATTTTCAAAACTGTTGAGAGTTGAGTAAACATTGAAATGTTTTTTTATAAAATATTCTTTGATAAGTAAAGAGTTTACTTTGTTTGAACTTAAAATAATAAAGGTATAAATTTAATGGAAAATGATAAATTAAAATGTTTTTAAGATTATGTTAGTTAGAGCAGTTGCCTATAAGAATCCTTGGACATGTCTCACGATTGGTTTGGAATCAAGTGAAATTATGAGAGGTGTAATAAAAATCATTCAACTAGGCATGATTTGATTTAAGGAAAAAAAAGGAAATTTTAGGGGATCAGTGGACAGTTTGGTTCAATAAAAATATACTTATGATAATTTTATACTTACTCAATAAAATCGCAAGATCGTACAATGTAAACACAATTGTTTCTAATACACATAAAAAGGGATTTAAAAGTTAATAAAAAAATACCATTTACAATATTGTAATCATGATCCATCTATGCATTCACGTGTGAACAAAAAATATATTTACATAAATGACTGCCTGCCAGCAACTTTTTTTTTTTTTTATTATTTTTATATTTGTTCCATCAGTGCCCTTAAGGAAAAGAACATTTCAGCCATTTTAATGCTATGGTCCAATAGGATGTGGTCTTTATTTTCTAGTAAATAAAATGTTGCCGAGTAACACTATTTTTTTTTTTTTTAATTTTTTTTGTTAAATAAATAAATGAGTGATTTTAGATGTATACAGATTTTAAAGCCATTTTTACAAACCTTGTGGTGGGCAACATATCCACTGTGCATAGATTGCATTTAAAGGAATACTCTAAAATGCATTATTCAAATCCTGAATCATTTGTTGACCTACATTCCTGTAACACGCTTACATGTATCTTATTGTTTTAACTCAGTGTTATGATATCTGAGAATGTTGTCTTAACTCGTTTCGTTGTTTTAAGAAGGGAGATGACCTTATAGTTTTTACAGATGCGGATTAAAAAAAATTGTGTTATACTGACACTTAGTGCACCTTTTATGATGTAAGGGTATGCACCTGCTGCCCAAGATAAAAATCATAACTTACTCAATGAGATGACAGCTTATTAAGATGAGTGTTTAAGTGGGTAATTGGGAAACTTCTGTGAATAGTAGCAGAGTAAAGGTAGCAGTTAGAGTAGC